CTAAGTGTTGTTGGTGGCCATGATGTTGTGGCCCTCCTCCCCAAGGGGTTCGGGAAAAGTTTAATTTTCCAGCTCACTCCGCTAGTGGTGAATGAGTTAGCTAAGGCGAACGATAGGATGCAAAGCCGATAGTTGTTGTCGTCTCCTCTTGTTGCACTAATGGAGGACCAAGTGAGGGAGGCAGAAAGGTTAGGAGTTGGTGCTGGGCAGCTCGGCGTGCACGATGATCACTGTACAGCATTTGCGGCAGATCCGAAACGACCGCAGCGGCGTATTGTTAATGATTACACCCAGCTTCGACAGTTGACTGAATACATCACTGTCCTTAGTGTCAAATAAACATTTAGAATTTAGAATTGTTCCTTGAACTCTTAAATTCGATGAACAAAACATGCAGCTCTCGTTGACAGACATCTTATTCTAAACATAATCCTCTGATCATTCGGACTTGTTTTTTTATTGCTTAAAACAATACACAAGTAATAACAGAAAACATAATACAAAAACAAACAAAAAATAATAATAAAAACAAAACAAAAATAAAACAGTAGGAGGATAATATAAAATAAACATGAACAAGTTAAGAGAATTACATGACACTGAAAAAGGAAAATAATTACAAACAGTTAATGTTTTTAAGGCTTTTTTTGTTCTCAGACAACTTAATTGAAAAGAGGTATTTTTAAAATTCTTTCACAAATATAAGAAAGAGAGGTTTAGCATTTAGATATTTAGATTTATGAATATGGAATTCGGACTTGTTGTTTCCAGCCGGTTACGGCGCATGACATACGTCACGACCACACGTTAGCGATTGGCTATGGCAGATCCTGAGTGACGCTGGGCAGATCCAATAGTTTTGAACTTTAACAGAGAACCCGCCTACAAGGAAGTAAACGTTTCTCAATGGAGCGAGGCCAGACTCTCTGTACAAATGAAATGTACGAGAGTCTGGTAGAACCAGGCTACCAGTGAGTAGCCAAAGACTCAAGATGTTTTTGTGATAATGATTATTTTGCAGTCGATGCTAAATTAACTAGAGGGATGCAGGCCGTGGTCTTAGAAAAACTATTTAGGCTATATATATATATATTAGTTTGCGTGCCGTGTGCTCGGCTGCTTGCTGTGTTGTGATCGTAATTATACGATCACGCGAGAGAGAAAGTAGATGTGTGCAGTTTCAGCCGTCCTCCTCTGATTGTGATGTGATCGAAATAACAAACAAAACAATTTTGTAAAATGATATATGAATCATTTTTATTTTATCATATATCATTTTACAAAACTTTTTTGTGCATGTGCTCCCGCACACACAATTTCAGTCACAACACGCAGTCAGAGGATGCGCTGAAACATCAGCTCGCGATGCTGTTCCCTTCATTCATAACTCGGACTGAGAAGGATAGGCTATATTTGTGTAAATAGTTGTGCAACTGCGCAAACTTTATGAAGTTTAATGTTTGGGTTCCAGGGGAATTTATGACTGTTTCACCTTTTCAACCTCATCAAAGTTTCGTAATTAGTAAGTTCTGTGCTTTTTCTCTTTTTTTTCTTGTGTGCTGACTGATGAGGGGCCGATGTGCCTTGGTGAAACGGTGTTTGTACATGTAGCTTATTTTTTTAATTATCGTGGCAAGCAATCATAAAATACAGCATATTGCACAAAAAAAAAGCAATTTACTGAGAAACGGACCTCGGGTTTGGGTCGGGCTCAGGCTTAAAATATAACTGTAATGTTCGGGTCAGGTTAAATGATTTCGGGTACGGGCCGGGTTTGGGCTTAAGTTTAAAGCCTGTGCTGACCTCTACTTCAGGCACATAACTTGTAAAATTTCAGCAATTATTAAATGACTTCTGTAGAGCTGTTTTACAGTTGAAATAGAATTGAGCTGAATAATGACACTATTGTCTTCAGTTCCATCTTTGGTTCTCTCTGATAGTCAATCAATCAAATACAGTCAAATGAATAATATTTCTGAATGTTAATTGTCATTCCCCAACTGAGCAGTGAAGGACACTTCATCTCAAGCTACAAATCAGACAAAAATGTTGGCTACCCATTTTCTGTGATCTTGACGAAATAAAAATAAAAATAAAAAACTGTTTACTCACTAAATATATACCATCTCAACAAAGTCCTGATATTATACCTTTACCAGAATCTGTGTATCACCATGGTCCTCAAAGTATGACTTAACCAGAGTCTGTGTATCACCATGGTCCTCAAAGTATGACTTGATCAGAGTTTGTGTTTAATGTCCCCAAAATGGACATAAAAAATACTGTCCCTAAAGTGAAGGCAAAATGTCAGGTCTTTAAGGAAGACTTTTATTAATAAAATCAAGTGATAAGTGTGATGACAGCTTCTCCAGAAGTGCAGTCATGTCTTTCTTTTGTCTCTAGACCCTTCAGAAAGGGGTGTCCCTAAAGGTAGGGTTCCCAGTCATACGTCCTCACATTGTGGTTAAGTAGGTATGTGTGTGTGTGTGTGTGTGTGTGTGTGTGTGTGTGTGTGTGTGTGTGTGTGTGTGTGTGTGTGTGTGTGTGTGTGTGTGTGTGTGTGTGTGTAAAGAATGGCGCTCATGAAGTCGAACTGATGGTAAAACAAATGGTAATGCCATGTTGTTAGATTAGCACCTGTAGAATTTCCTTTTGTTAGAAGCCCAGATAAAAGTAAAAAGCTACTATTATATTTAGATCCATCAGAAGCAGTTCGAATTCACGAGCGAATTTCTTTACAAAAATGTTCATGTAATTTTGACTTTATTCTCAAAATATTACGACTTTATTCTCGAAATATTTCGACTTCATTCTCAAAATATTTTGACTTTATTCTCGATATATTTCGACTTTAATATCAAAATATTTCTACTTTAATATTGAAATATTTCAACTTTAATATCAAAATATTTCGTCTTTAATATTGAAATATTTCAACTTTAATATCAAAATATTTCGACTTTAATATCAAAATATTTCGACTTTAATATCGTAATGCTAGAATTTTTTTTTTTTAACGTTGCGGTTCAGGGCTTCCGTGAAATAGTTCCAATAATAAAAAAAATATATACACTCACCGGCCACTTTATTAGGTACACCTGTCCAACTGCTCGTTAACACTTAATTTCTAAGCAGCCAATCACATGGCGGCAACTCAGTGCATTTAGGCATGTAGACATGGTCAAGACAATCTCCTGCAGTTCAAACCGAGCATCAGTATGGGGAAGAAAGTTGATTTGAGTGACTTTGAACGTGGCATGATTGTTGGTGCCAGAAGGGCTGGTCTGAGTATTTCAGAAACTGCTAATCTACTGGGATTTTCACGCACAACCATCTCTAGGGTTTACAGAGAATGGTCCGAAAAAGAAAAAACATCCAGTGAGCGGCAGTTCTGTGGGCGGAAATGCCTTGTTGATGCCAGAGGTCAGAGGAGAATGGCCAGACTGGTTCGAGCTGATAGAAGGGCAACAGTGACTGAAATAACCACTCGTTACAACCGAGGTATGCAGCAAAGCATTTGTGAAGCCACAACACGCACAACCTTGAGGCGGATGGGCTACAACAGCAGAAGACCCCACCGGGTACCAGTCATCTCCACTACAAATAGGAAAAAGAGGCTACAATTTGCAAGAGCTCACCAAAATTGAACAGTTGAAGACTGGAAAAATGTTGCCTGGTCTGATGAGTCTCGATTTCTGTTGAGACATTCAGATGGTAGAGTCAGAATTTGGCGTAAACAGAATGAGAACATGGAACCATCATGCCTTGTTACCACTGTGCAGGCTGGTGGTGGTGGTGTAATGGTGTGGGGGATGTTTTCCTGGCACACTTTAGGCCCCTTAGTGCCAATTGGGCATCGTTTAAATGCCACGGCCTACCTGAGCATTGTTTCTGACCATGTCCATCCCTTTATGGCCACCATGTACCCATCCTCTGATGGCTACTTCCACCATGTCACAAAGCTCTAATCATTTCAAATTGGTTTCTTGAACATGACAATGAGTTCACTGTACTAAAATGGCCTCCACAGTCACCAGATCTCAACCCAATAGAGCATCTTTGGGATGTGGTGGAACGGGAGATTCGCATCATGGATGTGCAGCCGACAAATCTGCGGCAACTGTGTGATGCCATCATGTCAATATGGACCAAACTCCCTGAGGAATGCTTCCAGCACCTTGTTGAATCTATGCCACGAAGAATTGAGGCAGTTCTGAAGGCAAAAGGGGGTCCAACCCGTTACTAGCATGGGGTACCTAATAAAGTGGCCGGTGAGTGTATATATTTGACCCATTATTTATGTATTGTTATGCTTATTAGAGTATCATTTTTTTTGTAACTTCACTGTATATTTTCAGTCACTTATGAAATCAAGTCTCTCATTTTAGTTCATTTGCAGCAGCGTTTTGGAACAGAGCAGGTTTTTTTTTTTTTTTCTGTAATCACGCAGGCGAAGTGAACCTCAATTATCTCACCCCAAACATGGGTTACAAGGCTAATAATAAAATATAGTGTTGATTATCAACCTGATAAATGCTCTAGATGTGTTCAGCCTTGAACACACACTCGAAAAACAACCAATTACCCAGTCCCTGCATGACCGAATGCTGCAGATTACCGATTCTCCACATACTGTCGGGCTGGCGGTCTTGCACACTCTTTACGGTCAAATGAATTACCGTTCTGGGGGAATTTCACTAATGAATCTGGCTGAGAAGATTTCAAAAGCCGTCACCTATGGGGACACTGTGGTACGGCGCACTTCAACAAAAGCGATTATTAACTCAATCTTAATTGGACTCCAAATCTGATTCTGCCCGCAGTGTGACCTTTTCCACAAATCAGTTCGATATTCTTTCTCCCTCTAAGACAATCCAAAACAATTTTCATGAGGACCAAGGTCTGGCAACAAATGAACTGAATGGCAATGGCAATCACGTGGATGTTGCCTATAATATCATTTTATAAAATAGCTAATGAGAGAAAGACAGATTACAAACCTCAGCTTTAGCCTCTGGGTTTGGACCGCGGCGGAGAACTAAGGCGTCTGTGCAGGATGGCTTCTTTAATTCCAGTATCTTATCTGAAGACAGAGATAAATGCTCAATATCCCCCTGTTGCCCATTTTCAATCCACATTGCTTCTTCAAACAATCTGCGCCCCATCAACAGTAAATATAGTTCAAATAAAAAGAGTAAAAGACAATTCCCTCTAAATGGATGTCAGAGATTCTAAGTAAGCACTCAAATACTCACTTCATCCACTAATCAAATGGCGTGGCATCCAAATTCATCAATGAAATCCCATTATGAAACACTGCAAATCAGTTTATATGAGAGCTATTTCATTGTCCCTTCTATTTTAAGATTAGCAATCATCAAAAGGGGTGCCTTCATTTGTATGAATATATGCTTTTAATTATAGCTATGTTCATATGTGTGAATGGCAGGATTTTTCTCTGCTTGATTGCTATTCCTCATGCAATTCCACCACAGTTAAAAGGTTGTGTTTTGTATTTTTCTAATTAAATATTAATCATTCAATTATGAAAATGAAAGATTATTGATTATTAGTGAGATTTGGCTATACTCGTGAGGGTCAAATGTCCTCACTTATTTAGTGAAATATTATGACAACCGACTAAAAAAATATTATAAATCAGCCAAAACATTTTTATATTTAAATCTAGTGTTTTGTCATGTTTCTCTGATGGGTAGGTTTAGAATTAGGGGTTGGGCTAGGCTTAAATATAATTAAAATCATATAAAATCAATGGAGGTCTATGTTATTGCCTCACCAATGTAGTAAAACAAGCATACGTGTGTGTGTTACAGTGTTACAATAATATTTTTAATTATTATACTGTTTTTACTGTATTTTTGATCAAATGCAGCCTTGCTAAGCATATAAGACTAATTTACTGACACCAAACTTTTGAATGGTGGTGTATGTACAGTATACAGAAAGTGTAATTGAGTCCAAACAATTAAATGCTGTTTGCTCAGGATGGAAATTGACAGAACATTCAGAAAATCAATAATGTATTAAAAAAAAAAATCACAAGCAACATCATTACAAGCAACATCAAAAAGTTATCAAAAGACATTGCAACATTCTGAAGAGCAATTGACAAGCGTAAATCTTGTTACAAAAACCAAATAACAGCTGGCAGGCAAATCAATAAAAAAAACGACATACTGAGACTGTCAGTAATGGTAGAACCCATTATACAATACAAAGCCAGTCACTTTTGATAGTTTGAACACACTTAAACTCAATCTGCCCCAAAAATAATTTGCACTTTGTCTCTATGGAAAAGTATGAAATTAGATGTGGCAAGCATAAGGTGGAGTGGAAATCAAATGCACTGCTTGATCATTTGTCCTGCATGAAATTCAACTCAAGCGGGCTGCATACTGAAGCAGCTTAAGTTAAAACAACAAAGAAACGTCAGGGAGAAATAGATCCTTGCTCAGAGGTGTGAAAGCGGATTGCTAAAGGTTGTCTTGATTCTAAAGTCACGTAAAAGGCATGCAAATAATTCAGTGGTATATCAGCATATAATAAAACTCCAGTCTTCAGTGTCACATGATCATTCAGAACTCATTCTGCTCAAGAAACATATCTGATTATTATCAATGTTGAAAACAGTTGTGCTGCTTAATATTTTTGATCAATTTAATGTAGCCTTGCTTTTCTTTCAAAAACCACTCTTTTACTTTTGAGCACCGTGCCGTAGTGCGTGTATACAGTTAAAGGTGCCATAAGGGGGGCAGATAGTAATGGATTTCTTACAAAACATCTAGCACTGACTAAATTCAGATTAAACTTGGATGAAACGGTTCTGGCCCCATAGCAACTCTTTGTATTTCAACAAGCAACTGCTTGGCAATAAAGGCTGAATAAAGATTCAGTTTGATTTATATCAGTCATCATCGTTACGCTGGAGGCATTGACGAGAAACCTCTCATCCACGCCTACACAAACCATTCATCTGTTTCTGTTAGCGCAGACACTTCCGTGGCAAGCTTCCACTCTGAGGTCTTAGTAGACAGAAGACAGTATAGACGAATAACTGTGTGGCGACTAGTTGAATCACAAGCTGTTTATGCTGTTGTCTAAAACACGCAACGCATAAAGCAGAACTGTACAGACTCACAGTGTAGAAGGAAAGAAGTTGATGGTTGACAATTGCTGGATGTATCAAATAAGATACATCCAGAGTTCAGAGTCAGATCTGTCTTGTTTAAAATACAACAGGCTTTTTCCCACCGCTGGGACTAACGGTTCTAAGAACAGTAAGGTACGGTTCCAGTTATATTTCCACTTGAGCTTGATTCGGCACAGAAGGATTACAAACTTGATTCGGCCCGTAATTCTCAGCACTGTTAGACAAAACTTCATTTGAATTTTTTCATTTTAATATTGCATAAATTATATTTGACTTAAATGCTTGTATTTAAATATTTTATATTCTATCAATGATAAAACTGTGCTAGATGTTGAGTTTTGTAAATGAAGGCCATTGGTAGGGAGCCTTTGAGCTGTTTATGATCACTATAATATAGTGGTTTTCAATTTGCATAACAGTGACTGTAAATGAATGGCATATTTTTGGTTTGCTTTCACTTTATTTTGATGGTCAACACATTCTGTTGACAATGAGTAACGTCTACTAACTCTCATTAGAGTGTTACAAGTATTTCTAGACTGTTAGGTTAGGGTTTGAATAAGTTGACATGTAGTTGCAAAGTTATTTATAGTCAGTAGAATGTCTGTTGTAGGAGGATCACAATAAAGAGTTAGCCGATATTAAGCAGACAGTCTACTAATACTCTAATGAGAGTTAGTTGGCATGTAGCTGCAAAGTTACTTATAGTCAACAGAATGTTCAAAAGGGACCATCAAAATGAAGTGTTACCTTTGGTTTTGATATTTGGGATATGGTCATTTTTGATTGGCCATTGATCTAGATTTGTTACGCAGACTTGGCAACCCTGGTTGGCATACACAATGGAAATGCAATTGTGAGAATGCTACTTAAGATTGTATTATATATCATGTGTGTAATCTCACTTGTCGGTCTTTGCCCCTTCCAGTTTCCAGTGAGTAGGGTCACTCCAGGAGCAGAGAGTGATGTTAATGCGGTGATCTGAGAGGGAAGGACGGGTCCCAGAAAGCTCTCCCAGCTTCTACGGGTTCCTGTATGCCACAAAGAAAACATGCAAGTAGACTTTATTATGCATGAACCACAGAGACATACTGAGAGAAAGAGAAAGACAGAGAATTACTGATAAAACAGACTGGTCAGCCATATACATTCAATCCAACTAAAACAAACTTAAAGGCACAGTATGCAAGTTTTTCAAAACAATAACAAAGGCGTAGCTTGATGACTGCGAGAGTGAGAGTGGGATCATGGGAGTTGCCACTTGACAAAATAGTGTTGTCTCTGAGGCATGGTACAAACATGTTACTCGCGGTAAATCAAGAAAATTAGAGATTCAAACAATAAGACTATAATAATGATTACGTTTCTGTCAATAAAGTTATCCGAACAGTTACTCAGCTGTCTAATAAAACACATAATTCATTAAAGTGTCTTTGGTGTTTCCATGGTTTCTACGGAAGTAGCGTGGATATGATGTCATTGACAGGCGACGCATTGACACGTTACACTGGTTAAAATAACAGATTTCTTTGGATTTTAAACATTGTTGGAAACATTTGGGATAATGTAAGTACATAAGTTAACAAAACATATAACCTTGTTCCAGTGGGGGTTTTTTTTGTGTGTATTTTTTAATCCAAATATCTTACATATTGTGCCTTTAAGGTGGTTCTATATGGTTTTCAACTGGTCCAGCTAAAATAGTGTTGTCTCTGAGGCATGGTACAAACATGTAAATCCAGAAAATTAGAGATTCAAACAATAAGACTATAATAATGATTACGTTTTCTGTCAATAAAGTTATCCGAACAGTTACTCAGCTGTCTAATAAAACACATAATATATTAAAGTGTCTTTGGTGTTTCCATGGTTTCTACAAAAGTAGCGTGGATATGATGTCATTGACATGCGACGCATTGGCACGTTACACTGGTTAAAATAGCAGATTTCTCTGGATTTTAAATATTGTTGGAAACGTTTGGGATAATGTAAGTACATAAGTTAACAAAACATATAACCTCTTTCCAGGGGGGGGGGGGGTGGGTTGTGTATATTTTAATCCAAATATCTTACATATTGTGCCTTTAAGGTGGTTCTTGATGGTTTTCAACTGGTCCAGCTAAAATTGTGTTGATTACCAGTTGGTGGTGCTCGTTTCTGTCATTTTGGTCAAAAAAAAGAAAAGAAAAAGAAAAACCTCAATGGTTTAAAAACCAACTTGACCAGCTTAAGCTGAAATAAGCTGTTTATACAGCAGGGATTGCATTAAACCATGTTATTTCTTATTAAATCTGACCAACTGTGAAAAGTAATACTATTAGAGAGATGATGCCAAGGACACTGCAAAATACACAAACATTATGCAGTACAATTCAGTCTGGCTATCCGGTTTCCACAAGCCAATAAGGCTATGGAATCAATTCCCAAAATCTCAAACCTGTCATAAACAAACCTACAGGAGGACCAATTAACATTCACTTCATTATTGGGAATCAAAGGAGTGTGTAATTGTACACTCTAACTTATTAAATTCATCAAAGCTTCAATCAAAAGTTCCTCTGACTGGTTAAACACTGAAAATGTTGGAAAAGCCTCAAGGCTCTTTCTCATCAACCGGGCCATATTTAACCTTTAATTTTCTAGCGTCTGTCCGAATTCTGCTCAACAGACTCTGCTTCTTCATAAAGGTTAATTACATTTGGCTTCAGCTCTGGGCTGGGCATTGCTGAAATCCAGAGGGGTTGACAGATTGTCAGGTTGAATATGTATGTGCCATTTCCAAGAGCACAAAAGCAGATGCATTTTTAAAGCATTTGTGATGTTCTGCTTCACAAAAAAAAGCTTGAAGTTATCAAGCTTTCGGGATTGTAAATGATGTTGCCCTTTCTCTGTCTGTAGTTGCCCTTTTACGCCACAAATTAAAAAACGAACCAGTTAAATAGTGTGAATTGAAAGAAATTATTCTACAAATAAATCAAAATGGATGTGTGCATGGATTCAAATTCGAACCGGAAATAGTAGACCATCCGGGTATCTTTGGAATATTAATTTCAACATACTACGATTTATGACACGCTAATTCTAATTTCAAATACTGTTTAGGACGGACAGTATGTGAATAGGGACGCAGCATTCATTCTCAGTTGTGTCCTGTCAGTTACTTTTTTTGAAAAGATTAGAAGAGGGAGATGATGAGATCTGCTCATTAAAACATTTAATGGTGCATGAACGCATGATTTGCATCTGTTCCCTGAAACAATATGGCTGTTCTTGCCACTGCTTTCAGATCCAGGAGAGATCTGAAACTCACACACACAAATGCTGGATTGATAACCTTGGGCAGCTATAGATCATTACTACACTTCATGATGTCTGACTCGTCTCTAGGTTACTGGGCATTAGCTTTCATTTATTTCACTCAAAGTTGCATATGTTGTGATGCTCGCTCTGTTTCGGTACTCTTGAGGACGTGTCTCACACATATCTCATCAATCTTGAATTTGCTGCTTGTCTTACATATATAAAGATGAGATTGTTTAATGAGAACAGGCACGCAGGCCTCAGTAAAAAGATGTCTTCCAGCGCAGTCATTAAATAATTAAAAGTGCATGATCAAAAACCTGAAAACTGATTAAAGCCAACAAAATCAACAGCGAGAGCATAGCGTTCACTGCCTCTGCCCTCGTACTGCTTTTCCACTGCTAAAATATGACATGAGTTTGAGTAGACTATCTCAATTTTGAGTGAACTGTCCATTTAAACACTTTTTTGTCCTTTCACATTGAGGATAAAAAAGGACGAATTTGCACATAAAAGATATAGAAGCGTCCTAAACATGTCTTTACCCTGAACCGAGCGAAACAGGGTCGATTGGTTGATGTTACTCTTGGGAAGGTTAAGAGACTTTGATGCGTTTTGATGTCAGAACTGATGGGATAGAGGGTGACAAGAGGACATCATTTGTAATATGTTGTTATGAAGGCATCAGACAGAGCAAGTGAAAGCTTTCAGAATGACCTGTATATGAAAAATGTTTGCTATGGGTGAGAGACAGAGACCTTTACAGTCGACATGATGTGTGGTGAATGTTAAGGTTAAAATGCAAGGTCTAAAACTGTACGTTCTACTGCTACACTTTAAAAATAAAGGTTCTTTGGCATGGTTCTATGAAGAACCTTTAACATCCATCATAGAATCTTTCCATTCCATAAAAGGTTCTTTATAGTGGAACAAGTTTCTTTAGAATATTTAAATGCTCTTCACTCTAAAATAATAATGCATCCTTTAAGAACTGCTCACTCAAATGTTTTTGGGAACCAAAAACAGTTCCTCTTATTGCATTGCTGCGAAAACACTCTTTAGGAATTTTTTTTTTTAAGTGCCTAGGTGTTTTTTTATTTGGTTTGAAGTTGTACCCTAATGTTTTCAGGCTAATCTAAGGCTTTGTTCCAAAAACCAAGTGAGCTGTCTTGCTGTCTACAGCCTACTGTATAGGCAGCATCCAAAAAGAAATGAAACCTCACACAGGTTACCCATTTTAAGCGTTCTACATAGCTGTGCACGGGAGACTTGACTCATAATTGATTCCAATAGAGTTTGACATTGGCATGTTGCTAGGCTTGATGCATAAGAATACACAACACACACAGAAAACAGCATCATATGACCTAATACATTTGTGCTGCAGGAATGCATCATTTTTTGCACTTCCGGTTCCATCGTCCAGATGTCAATTGGTTTTTGAATGGGTTTAAGGTCCTTTTACTTTTAATTCAAGGACACAAAATACATCAGTAAACCCCACATGTGATTTTTCTAAGCTTTTATGTGTCTTGAAAAACAACGCATTCTCATCCCAAGGCGTCACTAAAATGACAATTTTGACCATGCTTCAATATTCGACGCTTTAGGCACCCTTTAGCGTCAGTTACATGACGCGGTGGTTTGATTATAGCCTAACTTCAGCATTTTCTTGAAATTGTATTTAGTCTTTAGAATTCCTGTGCATTTGAAACTATTATAAGAACAAAACAATTTTTTTTTTCAATAATCCAAAAGCATAAGCAAAAATACAAGGTGATGCTAACTTGGTTGTCCTATAAAAATACATCACTGCAGAACTCTATGCATTATAGGAGAGACTTCTCTGCAAATAATACATATAATGCTGTCTAAGTACTGTATACAGTGTGCTAAAAATAAGTATTTTAGAAGGCAACATTAGGCAAAAAAATGCCTATGTAGGCAGCTTACTGAGCTCTAAGCATCTAAACATTTTCTCCTTTCTACTATCCATAGTTTTTTTTTAACCACACAAAAACAATTATCATGCAACTGTCTGAGAATGTCATTCTACAAAAGGAAGAGAAGAAGTACAGGTAGTCTCATCCATGTGAGTGACTGCCAAAGCAACGTGTGAAAAGCATTTCGCATATTGCAGCGAGGATCTGTAAATTTCAAACATGCCGACCTGAGATATGCACATATCCATTTCCAAATATGAGCATAGTGTAGTTCCGAACAGACCACATCTTGATGCATTTGTCATAAGAGGTGAACTCCAATGCACCCATTGTGTATGCCACTAATTTGTATCAATTTACAATTCCTGTCATGCTCATGCGACCGAGAGAATAATAAATGTTTATTTATTTGGGAAGCAGAATGGCCTCTTCATTATGAATGAGAATGTATTGCTACTGTTGACACTGGACCTTGAAGCCCCTTACTTGATCGCATCTGCCCACCAAGACGATTCACTGGCCTCACCATCAGACACGCTTCTGTAACTTCTGATTATATTCACTCAGCCGAGTAGCTGGTCAATTTTTATGGACCATTTATCACATCGCCAGCCCTTTTAAACAAGATCACCACCATGGAGGTGCTATCTAATCATATTCAAAGTGGATGAGCGAATTTGGCTCGGTAGTTATTAGGGAAATAAAACATGCATCACGTTAACTGTAAGTCAAGATAGTTGATCATCATGTTATGAAATTGAGTATAAAAAAAATCGAATAACATTTAT